GCCGGGCGTGGTAGCGCATGCCTGTAATTCCGGCTACTCGGAAGGCTGAGGCGGAAGGATCGCCGGAGCCCAGCAGGTCGAGGCTGCGGTGGCCGGGAGCGGCCACTGCACTCCAGTCTGGGCGACAGAGTGAGACTCCAACTCAAAAAAAAAAAAAGAAATTCTCAACTTTGTGTGATTATGGGGCAAATTATTTAATTTATTTGGGCACAAGTTTCCTTGTTTAAAAAGTAAAGATAAACTGAGCTAGGTGACTCAGCCTGTAATCCCACGCCTTTGGGAGGCTGAGGTGAGTGGATTGCCTGAGTCCGCGGGTTCGAGACCCGCCTGGGCAACTTGGCGAGACCTCATCTCTACAATAAATCAAAATCAGCTGGGCATGGTAGCGTGTGCCTGTAATTCCAGTTACTCGGAAAGCTGAGGCGGAAGGATCACTGGAGCCCAGTGGGTCAAGGCTGCGGTGGCCGGGAGCAGTCGCTGCACTCCAGTCCGGGTGACGGAATGAAACTCCAACTCAAAAAATAAAATAAAATAAAAATAAAAAGTAAAGATAATAAAACAATCTACCTTAGAGAAGTATTATGAGGATTAGATTATTTAATACACATAAAGCGATTAAAGGCAGGTCTAACCCACAAATCTTGTAAAAAATTCTTTTTTGAGTCAGAGTCTCACTCTGTTGCCCAGGCTGGAATGCAGTGGCATGCTCACAGCCACCCCAGCCTCGACCTGCTATGCTCAGGTGATCCTTCCACCTCAGCCCTCCAAGTAGCTGGAACTACAGGCATGTGTCCATGCCCAGCTAATCTTTTGATTTATTGTAGCGATGAGGTCTCACCAAGTTGCCCAGGCTGGTCTCGAACCTGTGGGCTCAGGCAATCATCTCACCTTGGCCTCCCAAAATGCTGGGATTATAGGTGTGATCCATCATGCCTGTCCAAATCTTGCAACAATTTTATCAGTTATCATTATGCCACCTCACATTTCAGAACCACTCACTATAGCCTCCTTTCGACTGCCCAAGTAATCGCTCCTTCTCACCAAACTTTGTTGTTTTTTTTTGAGTTGGAGTCTCACTCTGTCACCCAGACTGGAGTGCAGTGGCCGCTCCCAGCCACCGCAGCCTCAACCTGCTGGGCTCCGGCGATCCTTCTACCTCAGCCTTCCAAGTAGCTGGAACTACAGGCGTGTGCTACCACACCCAGCTAATTTTTTTTTTTTTTTTTTTTTTTAGTTGGAATCTCGCTCTGTCGCCCAGACTGGAGTGCAGTGGCCATTCCCGGCCACTGCAGCCTCGACCTGCTGGGCTCTGGCGATCCTTCCGCCTCAGCCTTCCGAGTAGCTGGAGTTATAGGCATGCGCTACCACGCCCAGCTGATTTTTTGATTTATTGTAGAGATGAGGTCTCGCTGCCCAGGCGGGTCTCGAACTCGCGGGCTCAGGCAATCCACTCACCTCAGCCTCCCAAAGGCGTGGGATTACAGGCTGAGCCACCGAGCCCGGCTAGCTAATTTTTGATTTATTGTAGAGATGAGGTCTTGCCAAGTTGCCCAGGCAGGTCTCGAACCCACGGGCTCAGGCAATCCACTCACCTCAGCCTCCCAAAGTGCTGGGATTACAGGCTGAGTCACCGAGCCCGGCTCTCACCAAACTCTTTACAGGGAAAAGAGAGACTGTGCTATAACTCCTCCCTTCAAGTTTTTTTTTTTTTTTTTTTGAGTTGGAGTCTCACTCAGTCGCCCAGATTGGAGTGCTGTGGCCGCTCCCGGTCACCACAGCCTTGACCTGCTGGGCTCCAGCGATCTTTCCGCCTCAGCCTTCCAAGTAGCCAGAACTACAGGCGTGCGCTACCACACCGGCTAATTTTTTTTTTTGATTTATTGTAGAGATGAAGTCTTGACAAGTTGCCCAGGCGGGTCTCGAACCCGTGGGCTCAGGCAATTCACTCACCTCGGCCTCCCAAAGCGCGGGATTACAGGCTGAACCACCGAGCCCGGCCCCCAAGTTTTTAACTCAATTCCCTTTATCATAAGCACCAGGACTAAAGGGTAACTCAGATCTGGGAATTGTTAGGCGTCTAAGGAGGAAATAGGCAGAATTACTATGTCAAGAACACAGCAGTACAAAGAACAGGAAGAAAATATCAACACCTTAGAAAAGACAGAGGCATAGATCATAAGCCCAAAGTCAGGTGGAAATCCTGTTTAGAATTGAGAACTGGTGGGGAAGTTTCAACGCTCCTAGGAAAGGATCTGGGTCAGTCTCACCTCTACCCTACCCTAGCCACCATGCTCAGGGAGGGATGTTGAGGGGGTTCTTTTACCTTGGACTGGGCCCAGAGGTTCACCGCCCCCTTCCCTACACTCTAACCACCGCCTATGGAGGGATGAGTAACAAGATGTGACTGAGTCACAGGAACACCAGCTGCCACTCACCAGATGCCATCACCTTATATGAGGTAAGACTAGCTCAGAAAAGTTCTTAGATGTTTCTTTACTTCCACCACTGTCTCCTTCCCAGCAGGAGGCTGTGTGAAGAACCAAGAACAAGGACAAACTGAAGTGAAAGGACCAAAGTGCAGGAAGGCCAAAGTAGCCAGGGATGAGAAATAAGGAAACCAAACAGAGGAAAGCAAGGAGGCAAGGACTGTGAATACTTATAATAGTTCGGAAGTATCCAAGCCAGACAAGAGGCCTGGTTCATGGCCTTAGGATGACTAACAAAATTGGTCCCCACTGTGCTTCTCAAGATGCATTAGCAGCCAAATCAATAACTATAGGGGTACTGGGACATGGCCAGCAGCTCCTACCTAAAAATAGCACATCCTCCTTCCCGTCCCCCAGGTTCAGAGAGCAAACCAGAATAGGACCAGGAATGGGTGGGGGTGGCAGTGAAGAACAACGGCAGGTGAGACTGCAGGCCTGGAAGAATCAGGAATGCTGTTATGGGTTAAATGTGTCTCCCAAAGTTCACGTTGGAAATTTAATTCCCAATGCAACACTGCAAGAGATGGGGCCTAATACAAGGTGATTGGGTCACGAGGAGAAATCCCTCATGAATGGATTAATGTCACCGTTACAGGAGCAGGTTATCACAAGAAAGTACTGTTACATAGCAAGTTCAGCCCCTGATGCTTTTGTGTCAAGTGCTTGCCTCCACCTTGTGCTCTTCTGCTGTGGGATGACACTTGCCAGATGCAGGCACCTGCTCTTAGACTTCCCAGCTTCTAGAACTGTGAGAAACATATATATATTTTTTGAGTTGGAGTCTCACTCTGTCACCCAGACTGGAGTGCAGTGGCCACTCCCAGCCACTGCAGCCTCGACCTGCTGGGCTCCAGCGATCCTTCCGCCTCAGCCTTCCGAGTAGCCGGAACTACAGGTGTGCGCTACCACGCCCGGCTAATTTTTTAATTTATTGTAGAGATGAGGTCTCGCTGCCCAGGCGGGTCTCGAACTCACGGGCTCAGGCAATCCACTCACCTCAGCCTCCCAAGGCACAGGATTACAGGCTGAGCCACCAAGCCCGGCAGATGTAAATATTTTTTGTCAGGGTCTGTTATCAAGGTTAGAGAGCAGTGGTGGTACAATCATGGCTCACTATAGCCTCAAACCTTTGGGTTCAGAGGATCCTCTTGCCTCAGCCTCCCAGACAGCCGAGATTATGCGTGTGCCACCATAACCAGCTATTTTAAAAAAATGTTTGTAGAGATGGAGGTATCACTATGTTGTCCAGGCTGTTGAACTTCTGGCTTGGCCTCCCAAAGAGCTGAGATTACAGGCATGAACCACCACGCCAGACCCCAGCTTATTTTCTTTATAAATTACCCAGCCTGTGGTATTGTTATAGCAGCAGCAAATGGGCTAAGACAGGGAACTAAAGTTCCAGTGGCCTTTTATGACACAAGCAGGCCTCAAGTACTTAATGATCTTGTTAAAAGCAACCCCAGAGGCTAATATCACTGCTTGGAAGTCTGAGAGCTGACAAATTAAAACCTAACAGCAATTATCCATATTTTTAGAATAAAGTCTTAGCATTCTGTTGCCATAGAGATCAGTAAAGAATGGAGGAGTCCCACAGAGAACCTGCCTTTAATTCAGGTCTCCTTTCAGTTGGTTCCTGAGCTGGTGAGCCAGGTTCTTCCTCATCCTTTGTTATAAGGCTAACAAAGCAGACGGAGGAAGGTGCACCTCCCTTTCCACAGAGCTACTCCTGGAATACTGTTCCCTGGAATTCACTGGTCCCAGGCCTGTTATCCTAGGCCGAGCCATATGGAAGGTAAAGGTTGAGGGGACTGACAGAGGAAAAATGTCAGGTATCAGGTCAGGGGAACCCTGATGTACAAGACCCAAAACCCTTTGGATACTGGCCTGGGACTACTACTCCAAATAGGACCCAAGGCAGGTACAGAGGCCAATAAGATAAGAACGGTGAACTTAAACTCCTTAAGATCACAAAACACCCTGAGAGAAAGTGCAGAATGTGTTACTGCCACACTGCCATCTACTGGAAAGATAAGATCTGTCTCGTAGGCAGAAAGGAGGCGCCTGGGTCTGTCCAGTGGATAGGTAGGGACGGAGAGAGAGTTAAGATGAAGACAGGCCGGGCTTGGTGGCTCAGCCTGTAATCCCACGCCTTTGGGAGGCCGAGGTGAGTGGATTGCCTGAGCCCGCGGGTTCGAGACCTGCCTGGGCAACTTGGCGAGACCGCATCTCTACCATAAATCAAAAATTAGCTGGGTGTGGTAGCGTGCACCTATAGTTCCAGATACTCGGTAGACTGAGGCGGAAGGATCGCTGGAGCCCAGTAGGACAAGTGGCTGGGAGTGGCCACTGCACTCCAGTCTGGACGACGGAGTGAGACTCCAACTCAAAAAAAAAAAAAAAAAAAGAAAATGAAGACAGATGCAGATGTGGAACCTTACCCAGGTGTAAGCCTTTTATCCATTTTTCTTTCTAAAGAAGATGAAATAAAATAAAAATAAAGGAAAGAAAACACAATGGTATTACAAATGTTTTATATCCCTAGAACCATCATGGTTTTGGCTCATGAGAAGTTAACATCAGACAGACACACCAACAGAGACCACACACATATGGGCAGTGGCCACATGGAGGCTTACCTTTTGTACAAAGTTTATATATATATATATATGTGTGTGTGTGTGTATATTTATGTACACAGACACACGGGTATAAAATCCAGTGAGAAGGGTTCACAGGTGCCCAGGTAGGGGATGGGAGTGGCTTTAACCACCAAGGTTGAGACCACAGTAGAGGCACACAGCAAGTGGTAGAGAGTTGCAGCCTCCCTCCATCATCCCACCCTGGGCCAAAGGAAAGACCCGGGAGGAAGGACACCTATACAAAGGAAGATGAAACATACCCCACCTTTTACAAAACTCCTGAAAGCCCCGAAGGAATCCAAAATGCCTGGCAGAATAGATCACTCCCACACCTTCCAGCAAGATGCTGAGCCTACAGTAGTTCTGGCCTTAAGCTGTACCAAGCTGAGGTCTAAGGCTGGCTTCACAATGCATATGTTCATGCTATCTTCCAGGGCCCTTGTAGCAGAAAACCAGCAACTTCAAGGCTCACCACCCAAACTTCAAAGTCCTCTTGTTTCAGAGGTCCTGAAGGTTTTACTTGACAGATGGAAGGGAAAAGGTATAGGAAAGAGAGGTTAGTTTCTTCAGTTAATGCCCTGTAGCCTTCCCAGTGGGGGAGGAATCGAGGAATTACTAAGAGGTGGTTGGAAAGGGCAGGAAGGTAATCTTGGAGACGATACACATGGAGAAACAAGTATTCGGTGTGTGTGTAAATTCTGTTCTCTTCAACTGGGGGCTTTGCTCAAGCAGAGTCCATTTTCAGTGGGGCTGTAGGCAGGAGCCCTTCTTGGTGTCTAAGGGTGGCCTCAATTCCCTCAGATTCAATGTCCATGCCCCTAGGATGGCTTGGTCCACAAAATGGAGAAAATGGGCTGTGGAGGAGTAGATGTGGAGATGGGAGTGGCAGGATCCAGAGGCACAGGGAGACAGTGTACTGTGCCACCGATTTACCTGTGGAAGGGAGAAGAGGTAAATAGGAAGCCAAAGGAAAGAGAATACCCGAAGACTAAAATGAGCTATGCCCTGGGACTCACATAGTTTGCGGGGTAAAGAGGCTGGAGAGCTGGAAGCACTGGGAGGCGATTGCCTGGGAGGCAAGGTTCAGGGCCGGACTCAGAGCTAGAACAAAGAGAGGCAGAGTGAGTGAGCAACACAACATATTCCTTCTTTTCAGGGCCCAACCCTTCTCTCCCTTTCTCAAAGCCAATTCTACCTGTCAGAGCTGCTGGGTTCAGGGCCCCCAAGGGAACTGCTCCATTCAGCTGCAAGGCAGCAGCTTGGGCAGCGGCAGCAGTAGCAGCTGTGGTTGGCAGCTGAATTCCAGAGCCTAAACGAAGAAGAAAAGGTGGGGTTAAGTCCTGACTCTTGATCTAAAATTCAGTCCCTTGTTCTTCACCCTTTGGAGATACTCTACCTTCTGCCAATTTGGCCATGAGCTGCAAACGGCCACCCGCTGATCCCAAATCCAGCTCCTGGTCCCCATCAGGAAAAGTGATGTCTGTGCCACCATCCAGTCGCTCAGTAACATGGCCAACCCTCATAGGCCGACCGGCAAGCTCAAAGCCATTCAACTGTTCCAGGGCCCGCCGGCCACACTCAGAGTCGGAGAACTATGAGAAACCCAGGCCATGTCAGTCACTTTCTGGCCACAGATATGTTCTTAAAGCCCCAATAACAACCCCTAGTCCGACGATCCCAGGAAAATAGCATGCTCTCTGTGGTACAAACTTTTCTGTCCCAGGGAGTATGATCTACGCCCATTGCCTCAAAATGTGTCTCTGAAAAGGATCTTTTACGACTGACTCAGTGGAAGTCACTTTTCAAACTTCCAACTCTAACAAGGCAAAAATCTGTTATCTGTAGAGAACCTAGCCTGACAGATTATTTTACAAATGGGCAGATACGATAGAAAACAGGATGAGAGCCAAGGCTCCTGGGCTGTTAATCCAATTCTTTGGACTAGTAAGTTTTAGCTCTCAATCAATTACTAAGAATCTGGAACTTTGCATTCCAGACTTCAGAGAAAACACACCCTAGCGTTGACAGCAAGGCAGCACCTACACCCCCACATACACACCAGTGCTGCTGGTTAAGGAACCTGCTGACCATAAGGCCTCTACTCTCTAGTTCCTTCTCTCAGCAGTGCCAGCAGCATCCTGGTGTAAGGAGAATTCCCAGTCTACTGTTTTGTACATCAAGGTTGTTGACCTAAAAGGCAGGAACACAGGGGCAAAAACACCCCAGAGATAAGCCTTTTCACATCTGTTACACAGAGAACTAGAAAAGGTTACATGCTACCATGAAACTGTCAACACTAGAGCTGGTTTTGTTTATTGTGGTATTACCTGCCCTAGGACCTGGCACATGGTACTAACAGTTCCTAGGAAGGTGGTATATGTGGCTTGCCTTTACTGGACTTTCTGAGGTAAGCAATTCCCATGGTAGACTATAACTAACTGCCCCTCTGTCCTGTATACAACTAGGAGGGTGTATGCTACCTGGATTAACCCCAGAAAATATAAGTTTCTATCAGACTTTGTGGATGGTAGCCAGTATTCAGTCTGAAGTCACATGGGCCTGGGAGAACCAGTTACAGGAATTACAAACAATTTTGTTGGAATGTTAGGAAAAGGTGAAAAGTGCCTACAATTAGGTGGCCTCACATTCTTCCCAAAATGCTTTTTTACTCAAAGACCTTTCTCAATGGATAAATGCTTCAAACAGGGTAGGACCAGAGGGAAGTATAATTTCCTATTCCCATCCCTATTATGAGAATATATCAAACGTATCTTGCAAAGCCCATACCTAACCTCCCTCATGCCCCCAACCTTTTAGCTGCAGCCTGGAATCATTACTATTACCCAAAGAGCAAGTTGCAGCACCAGGGAAGCTGGCAGAATTCCTGGACACCCCCATACCAGGGCCACTGACAGAGTGTAGGAGCAAAGTCAAGATCTCAAGCAATGCACTCATCTCAAGGGGTAGAAGGCTAGTCCAAGCTTCAGGCACCAGGGTTTATGACTCATTTAGACAGTTCCTAAAGGAGGAGGATGAAGCTAAGCTGCAAAATCAGACAAGTGGACAAACCCAAAGTAAAATTGAAAAACGAAAAGACTAGAGACTCACCGTAATGAAACCATAACCTTTAGAGCGGCCAGTATCCGAGTCCTTCATCAGGACAATATTATCAATCTGTAGAATAAGAAGAAATTATTAATAATTTTTTGACTAGCCCACACCTTTGATCTTTCCAACCCAGATTGCTTTAAATACTTCTAACTTTCTAACCAACAAACTACATTTCTCCAAATCTTTTCACAAGAAATTAAGGCTCTCTACCTGACTAATCTTACTTAATCTGAATTCTATGTCTGATGTATTTGTCTACTGAGTCACAGGAATAGAGATGGAGCCCAACATTCACAGCAAGGATCCATATATCCGTTATGGTGCATGCAGTGGGATAATCATGACCTCCAGGAGAACAGACAGTTACACTCACCCTCCCCACTTTTTCCAATTCCCTTTAGAGACGTCTCTCAGATCTACTCACTTTGCCAAAGGGCTCAAAGATGCCCCGGAGCATGTCCTCAGTGATATTGAAGTGTAGGGAGCCCACATATAGGCGCATTGGTCCACCACTGCCTTTCTGCAGGTTATTGGCCATAGCTGCCAGTCTGTTTTTCTCAGCCTGGGGAAGAAGGAAATATTGAGTCAAGTCTCACATTCCCCCTCCCCTTAAAATCTTATATTATGTCAGTTTCTCAGTTTGTTCACCTGTGAAGCCTGTACAATAATAGGCACTCCCAGCAGCCGTTGTCCAGTCAGCCCAATGGCCAGTGGCACAGACTGGATTTCACAGAATTCCACATAGGCAATGCCCTTAGAACGACGTGAGTTCCGATCTGAGATGATACGTACATCACGAACCTATTTCAGGGCACAGAGGAAATCCTGAGTTGGGCATAAAGGGGGATAGACAAAAGACAGGCTACTCAGAAGAAAACTAAGGTGGGAGGGTTACCTTGCCAACAGCAGAGAAGAAATCCTCCAGGTCTCGAGGTCGAATGCGGGCAGCTAACTGCATACAGAAAACTGTGCGGGCATCACGCTCCTCAGGACTCAGATTATCAATCGGCTCCCTAAAGAGTGAAATGTGTTGAGACCACCCCTCCCAATACTTGGTTGCTGTTCTCCAGCTAAGACTGAAATACTACACATTCATATAATGTGGCTCCTTAACAAGTGCTCACTGTCAGCTCACCTGACTGGGCTCTTCTCTCTGAAATGAGGACTCTTACTGTGACCATACCTACGCCTAAGGGATAGAGAAAAACAAAATGTGAAAAACATTTTCACATTGGTCAAATGCTTCCACCACGAGTCTTCCACCACAAGAAAACCAGATTCTAGCACTTCACCTCCCAAGCGAATTATTAATCCCAGCCCTTTCAGCGACGAGTATCCTGCCTATCACAATGGGCTATAAGCACCTTTGGGCAGGGTCCATAATGCACAGTTGTTTTACTCAGATAATGAAACAAAGGTGATCTTTTTTTTGAGTTGGAGTCTCACTCTGTCGCCCAGACTGGAGTGCAGTGGCCGCTACTGGCCACCGCAGCCTCGACCTGCTGGGCTCTGGCGATCCTTCCGCCTCAGCCTTCCAAGTAGCCAGAATTACAGGCGTGTGCTACCACACCTGGCTAATTTTTTTTTAATTTATTGCAGACATGAGGTCTCACTAAGTTGCCCAAGTGGGTCTCGAACCCGTGGGTTCAGGCAATCCACTCACCTCAGCCTCCCAAGGCGCAGGATTACAGGCTGAGCCACTGAGCCCGGCTCAAAGGTGATCTTATTAGCAAAAAGAGATGGGACTGGCAGTGAGAAACTGCTGGGGGGGGGAAGGGGGCACACAACAACAAGGATACCTGCATAATGAATATTTGTATACCTAATCCTGAATTGTACCCCACATATTTAAAATTGAATAAATAAACAATTAAAAATGATACCCAGTGGCAAGTAGAGGACTCCTATAGCGCACACGATCCTCTCGACGCCAGTCCCGACTTCGTGACTCACTACTATGTCGACGATCCCTGCTACGGCTGCGGTGACGACGCTGGCGATCCCGACTTCGGCTCCGACTGCTTCTCCGTCTATGCCGATCCCGGTCTCGACTACGACTAAAGATGTTTTGAAAAAACTATGGTCATGTGACATACAATGTTTTGGTCAACAACCAATCATATATACAGTAGTGGTTCCATAAGATTATAAAGAAGCTGAAAAATTTCTACGGCTTACAGACATCACAGTTGTCATGCTGTAATCAACACATTACTTATGTACTTGTGGTAACGTTGGTGTAAACAAACCTATTGCGCTGTCGTATAAATGTATAATACAAGTAACTATATACAAAGTAAAGCCGGGTACAGTGGTTCATGCCTATAATCCCAGCACTTTGGAAGGCTGAGGTGAGAGGATTGCCTGAGCCCACAGGTTCAAGACCAGCCTGGACAACTTGGCAAGACCTCATCTCTACAATAAATAAAAAATTAGCCAGGAATGGTGGCACATGCCTGTCATTTCAACTACTTGGAAGGCTGAGGCAGAGGGACCACCTGAGCCCAGCAGGTCGAGGCTGCAGTGGCTGTGAGCATGCCACTGCACTTCAGCCTGGATGAGAGAGAGATTCCAACTCAAAAAAAGAAAAAAACATAGTGAGACTTCGTCTCTCCCGAAAAATTATCCAGAGCAACCTCTTCGGGTCCCCTCCTGCTGTGGAAGTTTTTCTGTCTTCTCAATAAATTCTATTTTCTCACCTTCAAAAAAAAAAAGGTTATTCAGGCATGGTGGTGGGTTGCCTATAATCCCAGGTATTCAAGAGACTGAGGTGAAAGGATCATCTGAGCCCAAGAGGTTGAGATTTTGGTGAGCTGTGATCGTGCCACTGCACTCCAGCCTGGGTGACAGAGTGAGAACCTAACTCAAAAAAAAAAAAAAAAAGACCTAAAGCACAGTCCGACACAACAGTTCACGTCTATAATCCCAGCACAAGTGGGAGGACTGACAGAGGCCAGCAGTTTGAGACCAGCCAGGGCAACTTTGGCGACACCATGTCCTACAAAAAATTTAAAAATTAGCCAAGAGCTCTGGTACACACCTATAGTCCCAGCTACTTGGGAGGCTGAGGCAGGGGGATCACTTAAGCCCAAGAGATCTAGGTTGCAGTGGGCTATGATTGTGCCACTGTACTTTAGCCTGGGTTACAGCAAAACCCTGCCTTAAAGGGGGGAAAAAAAAAAAACTAAGACACACACATTACCCTAGGCCTATACCGGGTCTTTCTTACACCTCTACATCTTGTCCCACTGGAAGATCTTTAGAAGCAATAATATGCATGGAGCTATCTGATGCAACAGTGCATTCTGGAATACCTCTCCTGAAGGATCTGCCTGAGTCTGTTTTACAGTTAATTTTTTTAATAAGTAAAAGGAATACACTCTAAAATAATGGCAGAAAATATAGTAAATACATAAACCGTTGAAACAGTCACTTATCATCGTTGTGAAGGGTTATGTACTCTAGGTTATTGCATCTTTTGAGTTGGAGTCTCACTTCATCACCCAGGCTGGAGTGCACTGGCACACTCATGGCCACCCCAGCGTCGACCTGCTGGGCTCAGGCAATCCTTCCACCTCAGCCTTCCAAGTAGGTGGAACTACAGGTAGGAGCCAGCATGCCCCGTCAGTTTTTTTATTTATTGTAGAGATGAAGTCTCGCCAAGTTGCCCGGGCTGGTCTCAAACCCATGGGATCAGGCAATTCTCTCACCTCAGCCTCCCAAAGTGCTGGGATTACAGGCTGAGCCACCGAGACCGGCCAAATAAATTTTTTAAAATAGGAAAAAGCTGGCTAGGCGCAGTGGTTCATGGCTATAATCTCAGCACTTTGGGTGGCTGGGTGAGAGGACTGCCTGAGCCCACAGGTTTGAGACCAGCCCAGGCAACTTGGCGAGACCTCATCTCTACAATAAAACAAAAAATCAGCTGGGCGTGGTGGTGTGCACCTGTGGTTCCAGTTACTTGGAAGGCTGAGGCAGAAGGATCACTGGAGCCCAGCAGGTCGACGCTGTGGTGGCCGTGAGCATTCCACTTCATTCCAACCTCGGAGAGAGTGAGATTCCAACTCAAAAAAAAAAAAGGAAAAAGCTTACAAAGATACAAAAAATATTTAGGGATAGCTGTACAATGTTTGTTTTTAAGCTAAATGTTATCACAAAAGAATAAAAAAGTTAAGCTGGGCTTGGTGGCTCAGCCTGTAATCCCAGCGCTTTGGGAGGCTGAGGTGAGTGGATTGTCTGAGCCTGAGGGTTCGAGACCTGCCTGGGCAACTTGGCGAGACCTCATCTCTACAATAAATCAAAAATGAGCTCGGCGTGGTAGCGCGTGCGTAATTCCAGCTACTTGGAAGGCTGAGGCGGAAGGATCGCCAGAGCCCAGCAGGTTGAGACTGCGGTGGCCAGGAGCGTGCCACTGCACTCCGGTCTGAGTGACAGAGTGAGACTCCAACTCAAAAAAAAAAGAATAAAAACATTAAAAAATTAAAGTCTATGAAGTAAAATGGCTATAGTAAGCTAAGATGAATTAATAAAATTTTTAAAAATTTAGTGTAGCTTAAGTATACAATATTTGTAGTCTAAGATAGCATATAGTAACATTCTAGCCTCCATACTCATCTCCACTCACTCTCTGACTCACCCAGAGCAACTTTCAGGGCTGCAATTTAAATTCCCCAAGTACCATATACAGGTGTACCTTTTTTTCCCTTTTATATCATATTTGTTTTGTTTTTTAATTTTTTTGAGTTGGAGACTCAGTCTGTCACCCAGGCTGGAGTGCAGTGGCATGCTCAAGCCACCACAGCCTCGACCTGCTGGGCTCAGACAATCTCACCTCATCCTTCCAAGTAACTGGAACTGCAGGTGCAATCCACCACACCCGGCTAATTTTTTTGATTTATTGTAGAGACAAGATCTCACCAAGTTGCCAGGCTAGTCTTGAACCCCTAGTCTCAGGCAATTCTTTCACCTCGCCCTCCCAAAGCGCTGAGATTACAGGTTTGAGCCACTGTGCCCGGTCATGTCTGTACTGTACCTTTTTAATGTTTAGATACATAAATACTTACCATTGTGTTGTAATTGCCTACAGTATTCAGTACAGTACATGCTGTGGTTTGTAGTTTAGAAGCAATAAGCTCTACCATATAGCCTAATGTGTAGTAGACTATACCATCTAGGTTTGTGTTAGTTAGTACACTTTAAGATGTCACATAATGACAAGATCACCTGATGACGCATTTCTCAGAATGTACCTCTGCTAAGTGCAGCATAACTGTTTGAAAAAGGCAAACAAGGGCTAGGCTTGGTGGCTCAGCCTGTAATCCCAGCACTTTAGGAAGCCAAAGCGAGTGGATTGCCTGAGCCCATGAGTTTGAGACCAGTCCGGGCAACTTGGTGAGACCTCGTTTCTACAATAAATAAAAAATTAAGCCGAGCTCGGTGGCTCATCCTGTAATCCCACGCCTTGGGAGGCTGAGGTGAGAGGATTTCCTGAGCCCGTGGGTTTGAGACCTACCTGGGCAACTTGGCAAGACCTCATCTCTACAATAAATAAAAAATTAGCTGGGCATGGTAGCACGTGCCTGTAGTTCCAGATACTTGGAAGGCTGAGGTGGAAGGATCGCCGGAGCCCAGCAGGTCGAGGCTGCAGTGGCCGAGCGCGGTCACTGCACTCCAGTCTGGGTGACAGAGACTCCAACTCAAAAATAAATAAATAAATAAAAATTAAAAAATAAAAATAAAAAATTAGCCAGGCGTGGAAGCGCACACCTGTAGATCTGGGTACTTGGAAGGCTGAGGCAGAAGGATTGCTGGGGCCCAGCAGGCCGATGCTGGAGTGGCCATGAGTGTGTACTCCAGCCTGGGCGATGGAATGCGACTCCGAATTAAAAAAAAAAACAAAAAACCTCAGAAAGAAAAAGCAAAAGCAAACAAAACCTATTTTGGCCTTTAATGTATAATTTTCCTGGTAACTTTTCCATTTATAAAAATTCCCAAAACTCAATAGACCCCAGAATTTACTGACCTGCGCTTTCTATCCCTGCTTCTACTATGGCTCCGACTCCTCTTCTTCCTATGAAAGACAGCATAAATTCTGACTACTGAGAAGATTTCATTATCTCTATCAAGGAAAAGGAATAACAGTAAGGTCAGGGTGAAACAGAAAGCATGAAAAGACCAAAACCCAGAGGATGATCTGGCAGGATTAGTTTACAGCAATTGCAAACACCAACTTACTCACAGCCCTGAATGCTGTCAGGCATTTGAAGTGGACATTTTCCCCCCAAAGCCAAGCAAAAGCTGGTGTTTCCAAATCAGGGGTCCTCTTGCTATTTTATTCAAATAAAATATATCAATGCTAGGACTGATCCACAAATCTACACTGGAAAGTGAAGACTAGAAGATCGTTAAACCAAGTTACCCCTATTCTCATGAGCCAGTGGAGCCATTACTAAATGTCTACAGTCTTAAACAACCTCCCTGTTCTGGCTGTTTCACCAATGGACACAGTTATTTCCCTTCCCATGATGCCAACCCATTTCTTTACCCCACACTTACTTGCTTATTTCCCCAGTGGTGCTGCTCCCACTGGTACCAATAGCATTGTTGCCAGTGCTGCTGGTGCTGTCTGTCGTACTGATAGGACAGTCCTTTTTAGCCTCTTTCCTTTGTTGCTCTTCCTGAGGAGTTCACCAGGAAAATGTCATAAGGCAAAAGGTGGCAGACACACAGATTCCATTCGGCAAAAGTAACAAAAGTAGACAAGGAAAAAATCAAAGTTCTTGATTATCTAGCCAGTTTTTAAGCACCGAGATCGCCTAACAAAGGGAATAAGAGAGGAAGCAAGGAAACTACCCAGAAGGAAAAGATAAAAAAGACCGATTCTGATGATAAAAAAGACCGAAACTTCAGCTACCCAACTGACGTTTATTTCCCAGGATAGTTAGAAACTGGAGTTAGGTCTGAGGTACACTGACTTTGTATTGTATCACTTCGAGTTATCAGCAAATCACTCATTACCAATACATTATGTGCCCAACCTTGGTTTCTGAGGCCCTCTCTAAAAGTATGGTCCTCGACTACAGTCTCTAGAAAAGCTTACTAAGACTATGCCTTTTATGATTAGTCATCGTACATAATAAAGAAGCAGGGAAAGAGATTTTACAAAATGTTAGAAGTGACAGTTCACAACTACTCTTTCTTATTAACCCAATTTCAAGAGTGAAGTGGGAAATGTTACCTCTTCTTTTTTATAGGGAGCTTCCAGCATGGCCTCAATCACTATATCAAAGTCATCAGATGCCATCGTGTCAGATCTGTGGAAAGGATATCAATATGTAAGAACCTGATTTATATTTTTCCTCTCCTTCCAACATCATGCATTTCACTCATCCTCCAAGAAACAGACTTCAAAATATACATTTCTGGTTCTTTAACTCCAAAGTGATCTTACCGGTTGTTGCTTACGCTAGGTTTATTTTTACACCTTATAGATCTGAACTAGTTCTGCTTTGTGGCTTTAAAATGGTCAAGGATCCAGAAGGAAAATGACTATCTAGAAAGACACAAAATATAACAGAGACCCTGTTCTATGAAAAGCAAATGCTAGTACTCAAAATTACTACTCACTTTGCAGTGGATCCTAGACCTCCATTCTATTGCTCATAATTCTGAAGTAACAGGCTTAAAATTAAATCATAAAAATGGGCATATTTATTTCCAATAAAGGTAAAAATGCAAGACTAAAAATCAGCAGCAAGACAAAACACCAAAATGTAGATTTGCCCTAAAGTCTTCCTCCCAAAATACCCCAAACTTAATTAGGGACTCCTCACTAAGCATTTTCTGTTCAATACCAACTAGTGTTTAGGTAACTCAGAAATATTATCATTAAGATAGGCTTGACCAATCCTACTCTGAAGCCTTTCTTCCTGGCAGGCAGGGTAAAACTTACTTCCCCTAGGCTTTCACAACTAGCAACCGTCTTTCCCAAGGTTGTCTACCACAGGTGTATTAAGTAAGAAAAACAGAAGACACCAAAGAAAATCAACAGGATAAGTCACTCAAAAATTACTGGTCTGGAATTATTGATACACACAACATAGTTGAATCTCAAAATGCTGAAAGAAAATGAACCAAAAAAAGAGTACACATTGAACAATTCCATTTATCTAAAATTCTAAAATATGAAAACATATACTCACAGAAAGCAGATCAGTGGTTGCCTAGGGATAGAAGTGAACAGGGAAGGGCTGGGAGAAAAGGATTTTAAAAGGGCACAAAAAAACCTTTGGGAGTGACAATTTCATGGACGTATAACATAACAAACCCATCAAATTGTACACTTTAATATACAGTTTAATGTATGCCAATTATATGTACTTCAATGATGTTTTAAAATAAAAAACTGACCATTGCCAGGTCATTGCAGCCACTGCCTTGCTAAGCTATGGTGTGGCCATGTGCTCTTTTGAGTTATGGCCGTTGCCATGATTCCTGGCTTTGGCCCCCTCCCCTACCTTGGGGAGTTGAATCTCCTCTTTCTATCTCTAATTTAGTTTTTAAATAAACTGTATTTTCTAACCTAAAAAACAAAACAAAAAACCAAAAAACTAATCTGAGGAATTTCTATGCAAGGAGGCTACCATAATCAGTCCTTCCATAGCCACAAAAGCTTTGTCCTCTTATTTATTTATTTTTTTGAGTTGGAGTCTCACTCTGTCGCCCAGACTGGAGGGCAGTGGCTGCTCCCGGCCACCACAACCTCAACCTGCTGGGCTCCGGCAATCCTTCCGCCTCAGACTTCCTAGTAGCTGGAACTACAGGCATGTCCTACCACGCCCGGCTAATTTAAGCTTTGTCCTCTTAAAAGCAGCTAATGAGCCAGGCTCAGCGGCTCAGCCTGTAATCCTGCACCTTTGGGAGGCTGAGGTGAGTGGATTGCCTGAGTCCATGGGTTCGAGACCCGCCCGGGCAACTTGGCGAGACCTCATCTCTACAATAAATCAAAAATTAGCCGGGCATGGTAGCGCACGCCTATAGTTCCAGCTACTTGGAAGGCTGAGGCAGAATGATCATCAAACAATGCTATCCTGGTTGCCCTCAGAGTCCATACCCTATTTTGATGATTGAATAAGTGTAATAATCAAACCTACCATTTTTATTTTTATTTTTTTTGAGTTGGAGTCTCACTCGGTCACCCAGACTGGAGTGCAGTGGCCGCTCCTGGCCACCGCAGCCTCGCCTGCTGGGCTCCAGCGATCCTTCCGCCTCAGCCTTCCGAGTAGCCAGAATTACAGGCATGTGCTACCATGCCCGGCTGATTTTTTTATTTTATTGTAGAGATGAGGTCTCGCTGCCCAGGCGGGTCTCGAACCCGTGGGCTCAGGCAATCCACTCACCTCAGCCTCCCAAAGGCGCGGGATTACAGGCTGAGCCACCGAGCCTGGCTACACCTACCATTTTTAATACCTACAACTGCTAGGAATAATGCTAAGCATGCTATGGAGATAAGATTCTTAGAAAAAGGAAAACTACTTGGAGCCATTTTTTTTTTTAAAGTTGGAGTCTTACTCTGTCCCCCAGGTTAGTGAAGTACAGTGGCATGCTCAGTCACCGTAGCTTCAACCTGCTGGGCTCAGGTGATCCTTCCACCTCAGCCTTTCAAGTAGCTGGAACTACAGGCACGCGCCACCATGCCAGGCTAATTTGTTATATATTGTAGATATGAGATCTTGCTAAGTTGCCCGGGCTGTTCTTGAACCCATGGGTTCAGGCAATCCTCTTGCCTTGGCCTCCCAAAGTGCTGGGATTACAGGCTGAGCCACCGTACCCAGTTGGAGTCAAATTTAAGACTTAAAATAGCTGGGCATGTATAGTGTATGCTTAAAAATATCAGGAACTAGACTAACTGTAAAATACATTGTCTGGTCTGCTGTGGAAAAATGGTTTGAAAAATAATTTTCTAAGTGGTATAAACTATTTTTTACAATCTGCCCTTTTCTCTCCAAAAGAAATGCTTCTGATTTCTAGAATTGCTCATACTTGACTGCTAGTGCAGGAAAAGGGTAACTTACCATACACACAAAAAACTTTCACTTGCTGACAAACCTCTATAAATGAACCTCTATGTATGGTGTTCTCACTCAGAAACAAAAGAATGAATGTATTCAAACACAAACACAACACACTTTTTTGAAACTTGCAATCTCTCTGGGTTTAGTGTGTCTTTCTAGAAGCAGTAAAGTGCCAAATACTATGCATTTTCAGATTGGGATTTTTCAAACTCTCTTCATGTTCTAATTTCTGGGTCAAGGTCCATTCAAGTTCATCCACATATAGAATATAGGGTTTTTTTGCTATTCTGCTCCAAAAACTGCATCAGAGACCCACAATCAGGGCAGTGCCTAGGTTTTGTTAAAGCAGTTAAGACCCAAGACAGCAGGTAGAACCCACTGCTGAAGGAGCAAGGACAGTGAAGAATCACATTCAGCTCAGTTCAGGAAGAATTCATCAAACGCTGGAGTCCCAGGGGTGATGGTAACGCCATCTCCTGGGTCCGGTCACTGAGCTGGGTACAAACACCTCCAAACTGAAGGCAGCTTAATCGAGAACAGGAACAATGAGAAAAATAAAACATTACTTGAAGGACCACCCTCCCCATGTTTTGTTTTTGTTTGCTTTTTTTTTTTAGGTTGGACCCCAGGCTGGAGTGCTGGCACGCAGCTCACGGCCACCGCAGCCTCGACCTGCTGGGCTCAGATGATCCTTCCGCCTCAACCTTTCAGGTAGCTAGAACTACAGACACATGCCACCATGCCTGGCTAATTTTTTGATTTATTGTAGAGATAAGGCCTCGCCAAGTTGCCCAGGTTGGTCTCGAACCCGTGGACTCAGGCAATCCTCTCACCTCAGCCTCTCAAAGTGCTGGGATTTATAGTCGTGACACACCACGCACAGCCCCATGTTTTTTAAAAAGCCAAGGCTACGTTTTTAAAGAATAGTGCTATAAGTAACCATCTCTGCGAGAGCCAGTGTCCCAGAGCTCAATCCTCCTATGTGGCCTCACTGCGCGTCTACAGAATGTGTAGTCGAAAGAGTTAAGAGGAAATAATAGCCCGTAGAGGACAAGCTTAGTGAACTTGAGTCTTCAAGAGACCGACGAATGAGGAAGAAATCTCAATTCCCTTATCTCTCTCTTTCTGGGTGTGGCAACTGGCGGAAACTGATCAAAACTTAGGGCTCAGAGGGCCGATGCTCCCTTTCCTTTCCAATTTGGGCGACACTAAGGGTCATGGCTGAGGGGACGTGGAAGGAGATCAAAGTCATTGGGATCATCAAAACCGCATCTTTATCAGTATAGAATTTAGACACGTGGGTGCCCACCTCTAAAGTCATGCCAGTGGGCTACATTCAAGTAGTGAATACTTCCAGTTCAAAATACACAAGTCTTTTTTTTTAATTTTAAAAGTTTGCCCGAGTTTGCTCGTGACGCCATTTTCTGCCTGTGACGTCAGGGGGAGGCGCCCTGTAGCAACGTCACGCATAGATGACGTCTGGGGGGGAACCGAGTTTCGGGGTTTCTCACCAATTCCGGGTCCCCGCAGGGGGGTCCCGGTTCTCTCCGTTCCTTTGGATGTGTTGTGGAGCTCGAAGCTCGGCTATTTCCTAGAGTCTCAGCAAGAAAAGTAGCACTGCAGCCGCAGCGGCTGCTTTTCCCGCAAAATGGCGGCAGCACCGCCGTCTTCCAGAACCTTCCCCAATCTGCGCATGCGCCGAAACACCCAGGCGGTGGAAGTACTCACTGGTGTCGTGGCAACAGGCCAAAGTACCAGTTTTCATTGGCTAAAGCTCTCGGTATGGGTGGAGCAAACGCACATGTGTCCTAGCAACCACCAAGTTTCCATTGATTGGCTAACCTCTCAGGGACTCAAGGAAAGTGTAAGCGTCCTATGGTAGCCGTCCATCGCCCTCTCATTGGTTAAACGACTTGCGGATGGCGGGGGGGGGGAAAACCGGAAGGAGAACGAGAGTGAAAGAGCCACGGACCCCGCACCGGGTGCTCGAGTCGACTAGGCAGCGCGATGGGCGGAGCCAACGAGGAGACACGATTGACGTCAGCCTTCCCCTGGACAGCTTTGTGGAGAGCGGTCGCGTTTCACGTCGGATGAGACGGTGAACGCCACACTCCCGTTCTGAGGGGACTGCCTACACAACCCTCCTTGGGAAACGCAGGTATTGCCACAGATTTTTCTTCTCCCACACTCTGCTTTATCCTCATCGCCTGGTCCTACAGGTCACATACCTTCTGCTCAAATCAGTTCCCCATACACCTCCCACTTGCAAGGGTAAACGTGAAGGTTTCTGAGCTGACTCCTCGAGTGCAACAGTACTCCAAGCCCTCTAATCAGAAAGAAAAAACTGATGTCCACCCTCACTTTCCAAGGGCTTCTGGAACCCCCAGCGACTTCAGCTGCCTAATGTAGCTATCAGAAACGTAGTTGGTAATATCGTGAGCCAGTCAGAGGACCTGAGTTCCAATTCTAATTTGGATACTAACATCACGTCATGAACAGATTTCAAAATTTGTCCCTATAAAATAGAAAATTAAGCCGGGCTCGTGGTAGCGCACGCCTGTAATTCTGGCTGCTCGGAAGGCTGAGACGGAAGGATCGCCGGAGCCGAGCAGGCAAGGCTGCGGTGGCCAGGAGCGGCCAGTGCACTCCAGTCTGGGCGACCGAGTGAGACTCAACTCAAAAAAACCCAAAAAAACAATAAAATAGAAAATTGAACTAGATGATCTCTTAGGACTTCAAACCCTAACCCTGTTATTTTATTCAAAGCAAATAGGTGGCTTCTTGCTGGAGATGCCTGGATGGCTTCCAGTCTTTTCCAAGATCAACAAAGGAGCTGGCAGTGCAGCAGTTCAAGAATGAAGGGAAGCTGGCTCCTCTCATTATCCCATCTTTCTCCAAGGTGGCATACTATGCTTCCTCCCCAGAGATAAGCCCAACCATAGGGTTCTAACAGACAAGAGCTCACTTTAGCTGGTCAGAAAGACCTATATCCAGAAGTCCAAAAGTCATCACTCAGCTTCCTAAGTAGGAAATACAGTTAGATCCCTTTGAGTCTTGGCTAGGATAAGTACACAGATCTGAACTTGCCTGGGCCTAAGCAAGGTGTGGGAAAACAGGGGAAAGCGGGGTACAGCAGGAAAGGGCTATAATTTTATTTGTTTTTCCTCTTACACAAAACCATCAAAACAAGAACATAGAAGGGCTGGAGAAGGGCTGAAAATGTGTGTTCAACCCCATGTTCTTAGGCTAGTCCAGGGAGTTCTTAAGACTGAGTACGTAGCTTCAGATCCAGCACTAATTTCTCAACCTTGGCCTAAGATCTTCACAGATTGGTGGCTTGAGTCCTGCAATTAATTCTTATCCCTTGCCCACCTTGATGTAAGGCAGGAAAGCAAACTGAAACATTCCTTTCTGATGGGCAAGGGGAATCACAGCCCATAGATGTTCTGCACCTTCTGTGCTACAGGAGCCGAAGCTGAGGCTGCTTCCAAGGCTCTGGACACTTGATGCAGGGTTAGAGGCCAATGGTGTATGAGCGTCCTGTGGGGTTGTGAATAGCAGAACACACTGGTGCTGTCACAGCCCACTCATACCACACCTTCTTGGAATTGCTGCATCGCCAGAAACGTACACAGATGGTCTGGCCTTCTCGCACCGTAATGGGCTGCTGTAAAAAGAAAGACAGGGAGGTTCAGGGTAGAAATAATGAATTACATGTGGCAAAGTATTAAGGTGGGTATAGAGATAAAACAATAAACATAGCCGGGCTTAGTGGCTCAACCTGTAATTCTGCGCTTTGGGAGGCTGAGGTAAGTTGATTGCCTGAGCCCATGGGTTCGAGACCCGCCTGGGGAACTTGGCGAGACCTCATCTCCATAATAAATCAAAAAATTAGCCAGGTGTGGTAGCGCGCGCCTGTAGTTCCAGCTACTTGGAAGGCTGAGTGGAAGGATCGCCGGAGCCCAGCAGGTCGAGGCTGCGGTGGCCGGAAGCAGCCACTGCGCTCCAGTCTGGGCGACAGAGTGAGGCTCCAACTCAAAAAACAAAACAAAATAAAACAATAAACATGACAGACTGTCTCAACCTTCATAAAACTTATTTGAAGTCTATCAGAACACTGGTCAGACATTGAACAAATAATAAAAGATGTGGTGAGTGCTGTGAACATGTATAGGGTTCTAGAAAAGCACCTGTGAAAAGGAACACTAACCTAGTTGAGGAGGTAAGGGAAAGTTTATCTGACGATAGAAATGATAAAAGAGACCTGGAAGATAAGTTAGCTGTGTGAACAAAGAACTTTACATGCAAACGAGAAAGGCATCAAAGCCTGAGGTAGGAAAGATGGGGTATTAGAGGAACCAAAAAAAGGTCCACAGTGCCAGGGACAGTGGCTCAAGCTTGTAATCCCAGCACTTTGGGAGGCCGAGGTGAAAGGACTGCCTGAGCTCAGGGGTTTGAGACCAGCCTGGGCAACTTGATGAGACCACGTCTCTATAATAAATAACAAAAATAAGCCAGGCGTAACAGTGCACACCTGTAGTTCCAGCTACTTGGAAGGCAGGGGCAGAAGGATCACCTGAGCCCAGCAGCTCAAGGCTGCGGTGGCCATGAGCATGCCACTGCATTCCAGCCTGGGCAACAGAGTGAGACTTCAACTCAAAAGAAAGTCCACAGGACTCAAGCAATGTAATAAGCTAATAAGCATGGGGCCAGGAGCTGAAAAGGCAGGCAAAAACTAGATCACCCCAAATTTTGCAAACATTGTTCCGGATTTTGACTTTTATCAAAAGTCACTTAGAGCAGTAGGAAGGGTTTTTTCTGGTTTTTTTTTTTTTTTTTTTAGTTGGAGTCTTACTGTTGCCCAGGCTAGAATGCAGTGGCGCACTCACAGCCATCCCAATGTCGACCTGTTGGGCTCCAGTGATCCTTCTACCTCAACCTTCCAAGTAGCCAGAACTACAGGTGCACATTACCACACGCGGCTCATTTTTTATTTACTGTCTTGCCAAGTTGCCTGGGCTGGTCTTGAACTTGCGGGCTCAGGCAGTCCACTCACCTTGGCCTCCCAAAGTGCTGGGATTACAGGCTGAGCCAATGAGCCCAGCCTGAAGGGTTTTCTTTCTTTCTTTTTTTTTTTTGAGTTAGAGTTTCACTCCATCGCCCTGGCTAGAGTACAGTGGCATGCTCACAACCATCCCAGTGTCGACCTGCTGGGCTCTGGCGATCCTTCTGCCTCAGTCTTCCAAGTAGCTGGAACTACAGGCGCACACTACCACACTTGACTAATTTTTGATTTATTGTAGGGACAAGGTGTCGCCAAGTTGCCCAGGCTGGTCTTGAAACCGTGAATGGCCCAGGCCATCCACTTGCCTCAGCTTCCCAAAGTGCTGGGATTACAGGCTTAGTGACCAAGCCAGGCCCTGAAGAGTTTTAAGAGAGAGATAAGATCAAATTTGAGTTTTTCAAAGATGACTCTTGCTCAAGGCAGAAAATGGACAGAAGAGTAGTTAGAGTATTTGTGGAGAGGTCAGGTAGAAGCTACAGGTAATCCCAACGCCTACCACCAGGACCCAAGAGCATATAAGAGCAGTTAAAACATGGGACATAGCCAAGTATCTTCCTAGTAGAAGGGAAGAGGCAGATCATCAACGGCAAAAGTTACTCAACCTAGAATCTTTTTTTTTTTTTTTTGAGTTGGAGTCTCACTCTGTTGCCCAGACTGGAGTGCAGTGGCCGTTCCCGGCCACCGCAGCCTCGACCTGCTGGGCTCCGGCAATCCTTCCGCCTCAGCCTTCCAAGTAGCTGGAACTACAGGCGTGCACTACCACGCCCGGCTGATTTTTTTGATTTATTGTAGAGATGAGGTCTTGCTGCCCAGGCGGGTCTCGAACCTGCGGGCTCAGGCAATCCACTCACCTCAGCCTCCCAAAGGCGCGGGATTACAGGCTGAGCCAGCGAGCCTGCCTAAAGAGTCTTAAAGGTGGTTCCTACCTTAATAGGGAAGAGGATGGGAAACCATGAGAACATCCCAGGAGAGTGAGTCTCTGGACGGATACCTATGTGAACAAAATAATGGAAAAATTGAGGTCTTCATGACTGTGCCCTTTCCCCCAGGTTGAGGCAGGTCTCTTCCATGATCATGGAACCAATAATCAAAGATCTCCACTCACTGACTACGGGGTTCCCCATAAATCTGAATAAGACACGTACATATGCTGCCCAAGCAGCACACCCTCATAACCTGCCATCCCCTGCCCTAGCACTCACTCAGAGTGATGTCCTGATAAAGCACAGTCTCAAAGTAGCCTGCAAAGCCATGTAGCACTGTATTCACCTCCACGGGAAATTCCAAGGTGCAGTAGCGGTTGTTGTCAATCATAGGATCTGTCAGGAAAAGAACTGTGTGAGTGATGAGGGGCCAGAATCCCTAAACAACCTGATAAAGCATGAGCAAGACCCAGGAAGAGAAGCCTAGATAGAGCAGACTTAGGACATCAAGGGAAGAGAGCAGGAGAGCGAGTTCACTCCTCTAGCCAGAGAAGAGCCATACAGGAACCTACCTCTGTTGGGATGGCTGAAGGTGAAACAGGGCTGGGGAGCAGACAGCTGGTGGAAGTTGTGTAGTCGTACCACATAAGGCATCTCAAATTGGGCCTGTCCCAAGTGAGAGAGAGCAAGAGCTGGAGAAGATAGGAGG